AACTCATGCAGCCAAAACCTAAAATTGGGTTGTAATGTCGTGGAAGCCCCCTCGAAAAAGTAAAAAGAAACGAGAATGAGATGCATCCCACGAAGTCAAATTCCAACCAATACACACACAAAGCTCACGCTGCACTGTAACTCAAGAATGCGACCACAACTACTCCGTAATTCCCACTTCCCCTTCCCCAGTTTACCCCTACCTACCCCCTCTTTCCCCCCTTCGCCTCACAAACAATCCAAAGAAATTAGTTGGTAGAGACAGAAAAAAAAAAACAAGAACATGATCGGTCGGTCGGGTCGGGTCAGGTCAGTCGGTCGGGACCCGACAACCTACCCAGAGAGTCATAGTCATTCGTCGAGATATCCCTTTCCGGGCATGATGTGCTCGTTTAAGCTCAGGGCGATTTTCCCGAACATGCGCAACCGCTAAGCGAAGGCTATCTGAGTTGCCTCTTAGCACAGCCATACATACTACAGTACTACGATATGTTTTCATTTGGATCATCAGTCCATTTCGTATCTGATTGAGGCTGGTGGCTGTTCTGTCGTATACAACGCGCACTTCCATAATTAAAACAAACCCTTTCCTTCCCGGTTATGGAGTCTATGCTTTTTTTCGAGCGACAATCAATCAATCAAGGCCATTATGTACGAGGTAACCCGGTAGGATAGGATGGTAAAAGTAAATCATCAACACGTATGCACTGCCCACTCTCGATTCATTCATTTCCAATTCTCCTTTCCCTGTCTGAGTCGGGTAAAGATGAATGAAATTTGGTGGTTCGTTCATCGGCTCGCCCGTCCGTTCCCTTCTTCGGTCGGCTGTTAAGTTAAAGTGGGTTGGTTGTGTATGTGCCGGGTCTGCTCGGTCGCTCATCATTCATGTCTCTCTCTCTCATCGGCTCGGTCGGTAAGTAGGTAGTACGTATAGTATAGTATGTTCTGGAACTTTGTACTTACATCTCACCTGCTCGAATAGGCAATATCCCACTTTCTGCGTTATATAGCCCATTTTATTTTCCATTTATCCATATATTGCCTGATCTGCCCTGAGGGGAGGGGTCGGAGGGGGGAGGGGGGATGAAGATCACCGCGGGACCTTTCCGAGGGGCAGCATACTGATATGTGGATTGTGGATCTACATAACTACGTAGTATTCGACTGACTTATGCTGTAAGTATGTGTCTTAGTACATAGGTTAGTTAGGTTACTTTTTTTGGGTTGATACATTGTTTGTGTTTGTTTTACCACCTTGTGATGGATATGAGGGTTTTACTTGGCGAACTGTACTGGTGAACTTGCGTTCTAATCATTGGGGGTTTGGGTTTCATATGCTTTTCTTACCCTTGTTTAGTTTGAAACTCAACTTAACTCATGGCGGGGGAAGGGAGGTGGAGGAGGAGAAAAAATGTCTCATGGTTTACTTTAGTTACTTGCTTTTGGTTTCTTGGGATGTCGTAAGCAAGCTTTTTGAGGATCTGTGGCTAGATACGTAGTGAAATGAACTGCCGGGTGGTTGCCGCGGAGGTGATTGGAATGGATACTATACTAGACTGCTACTACTAGTACTCTTACCCCCCGCTTCGTGGTGGTGGTGGCGGCGGCGGCTCAGTTTCGCCTCAGAGTTCAGAGTCAAGATGAGACACATACGACAGATGAGACAGATATAGTTCCGATGTTCCGAGGATCATCTACTACTACTATCTACCATGCATTTACTAGTTGTGAACTACGACGCAAGAAGCATACCATACCATACCATAGTAGCGTAGCCAACTACTGCATCAAGGGTAGATAGTAGTAGAGCCTCCCAACCCAGCGGATACTGTGGTATTCCAAGGAATTGATGAAAATCCCGACCGTCTGGACCGACCTCCCGAGAGATTAATATCGCGGGTTCACTATCCCTATAATATAAGATAATATAATCTAACTAACACTGACTACGGGAGTCGTAGGCCGTAGGCCGAGTAGACTAGGGTAGGTAGGCTATATGGCTCGCTCGCTGGGTCACTACGCAAGAGCCGACGCTTAAGTGGAGAGAGAGAGTTAGTAACGAAGGGGGGCAAAAGCAACCCAGCCAATATGATTGGATGGGAAGGGGGAACAGACAGCTTCGCTTCCACGAGACAAGAGCGTCAAACTAACAGCAGGCTCGTTTATTAAAGTTTGGGACCGCTGGGGAATCAATCAATCTGCTTGCACATGGAACTGCTGGGACTGGTACGTACGTAGCTGGAACTGGACCGGGTGTGATCAATAATTGTGGGGTTGATTTTCTTTCTTTTTCTTCGTTGTTCGGGTCGAGTCCCATGTGCAGAAGAGAAAGAGGAGAATCCTGACGCGTATGTCAGCGCTTCCATTAATCGTATTGTCTTAGAGTAAGTAAGTGTGTGTCCATCCATGGATGAATCAATCTCCGTATGGAGTAGTCAGCCGTTCTGGATGCCACACACACAAAACAGCCCAGACGATCATTTAATCTATCTTGCAGCATCCGGGGGAAGGAAATGGATTTGACTAAGGATGATGTAATTCGGCGTCGCCGACAGTTGGCGTTTGTTTTTTGGATTGTTAGGTTACTTTAGTTGGCACTGGCAGGTTGGTAAAAATGGATGGATGATCCGCTAAAAGTCGCCAAGGAGGGGGGAAAAGGAAGACAGGAAGGGATTGATCGACTGTGCCATTCCATTGTTGCGTCTCCCCTTCGCTACAAAATAAAAATTCACACTAGGCTATATCAGTACTACGGCCGGGAGCATTACCACTTCGGGCGATGGGGGCGCTCGCGTTGGCATCGCTCAGGTACGCTTCCGGTAATCGGGTGTGGGCGGTGTGGTCCGCCGCTAAGGGTGATTTGTGCTGATCAGTTGTGTTCGGAAGAATACCAAGAAAGAGGTAAAGTGTAAGGCCAGCCTGCTTGCTACTACTGAGGCTTGAGACGCGACAGGGATGGGGCCTGTTTAGATGTGGTGATGATGATGATGATGGTGATGAATTATGCCGATGAATGAATGACCTCAAAATAGAGATTTTTTTTGATTTTCAATTTTTGCTTGGCTGTACCTACAGCATACCTTACTGTAGATCTACTTACCCTTTCCTAACAACTACCACGAGGTTCAAATTTTTTGTGAAAACCAAAAATTCGTGACATAAAAACAGCCAGCCAACCAGCCGGATGCAATTCATCCGACGGGAAGAGAACGCATAAACTGACTGACTGATGACTGATCTCGGTTCCCAGAAATAATACCGGGATGATCAACAACTAAAACCACAGTTAGTAAGGTGGAAAGTAGGTCCGTCCGTTCTTTCTTTCCCCCCTTCGTCTCCATAACCCTTTTCGGGATTCGTCTTGTAGCTCTCCCGGCCGAGGTACATCTGTCTCGTGTGTGAGCGTCCCGCCCTGCTCCGGCTATGAGGCCCTTGGGGACCTCCCGAGAATCAAAGTATAATTGTGTCTCTTCTCGAAATGTCTCGTTTAGCCATGCTTATTTTGGACTTGAGACCGCCCGTAGGCAAAGCTTTTTAGTTTAGACGTCGTGATCTGACGGTCGATCCCAATGGAAGTGAAGGAATGCGGACATGGCCTTTTGGTAGGGAAATCGAATCCATCTACACTACTATCCACTTCGGCAGTTGATATCGGTGGTTTTTAGCCTCGTCAGTCAGCCTTCCTTCCCTTGATCATGGTTGGTGGCTGTGGTGACGATGACGATTATGATGATGATGATGCGCTGTGCAGTTCCCACCAACTAAATCGATGCGGCCCGAATGTGAACGACAGAGAAAAAAAGAAGCAAAAGTGCAAGTAGATATCCGGTTTTGAGACAAAGTCAATTGTCTCAGAAAATATTTGCTGAAAGTGGTGGTGACTTAGGCACACATACACACCAACAACCCCAGCCCTGGTCGACGTCATTGACCAGTCACCGTAAAATGCATGCACCATGCAGCATCCGCAGCATGGTTGATCAATCAGGGGAGGTTTTCCCTGGATCCCTTGAGTTACGCCTGGGCCAGTCAGTTATCGCTTGCATGGACGATGCATTTTTCTCCATCTCCATCGCCCGGTTTCTGTCATTATCGTTGGATGATTGATTTTCTCCGTTCTGCAAAACAAAAAAGACTTACTAGTGGTCACTGCCTGACCAACACATCTCACCAGCCCCCAAGAAGAGCAACAAAAAAGAAAAGAAAGAGTTATTGCTAAAATGAGCAAACCGAGATGTGAATCTTCATCATACATAGATACATTTCCGTAGTCTATACAAACTAACCCCCGGGGGGCCAGATGATCATACAAGAATAATAATCATCCGAAAGGGCTTTCCCTTCCGTCTTGTTTGTTGGTCGGATCGGATCAATCTAGCTGACTTGGGATTAGTTTAGTCAGCGGCATCCTTTTGTTCTTCTTTTCTTTTTCTTTTCATTTATTTAGAAAAATTTGCTTTATTCTTGTTGGCTGTCAACTGCCATGATAATCTCCGGCATTGCTCATCACCGTAAAAAGAAAATAAGCAAAATAGAATAAACCATCTTGGCCCCCCGACCGACCGAAAGGAATGGGTGCTATGAACTAGTCTAGCCTGAGGATCGTTCAGAGATTCCTTTCTGGGATGGACCAGATCTAAGCTCTCTTGGGCTTAGAGCCCCCTTTTGCTTAACAAGCAGGCCAAAAAGAGCGAGCTGCCATGCCATCCGCGCATCGTGCCGCGACTCCGTCAGCCCGGCCGGCCCCAAGGGATTGGACCATCCCCGGAGACATTTCCCATCCCAGAAATCAAGCGAGTCATGGCCCTCACGATGGGCGTTTCTCCATTTCCCATCTCCGTGGTCTAGGGAGAAAAACTAAGGGGGTGTCTGTGTTAGTCGTGTAGTGACGCTATCAACGGAGTCTTTTCCATCAAAGTAACTTTTCTATTATTATTATAATGTGCTGGTCTGTGTTGCTGGACCACGCACGCATTGTCTCAGTACCAAAGGATCTTCGGAGAAATAGGATCGAGTAGTAAGAGACAATTAATTTAGAGAAGGAATAACTATGGATGGAATGAATTCAGGGTCACCTTTTCAGATTGTTTTCCAGAAAGGGATGTTTAATCGACCGCTAGAATACGGAAAGAACGGAGATGGAAACTGAGACCAACCAGGGTTGAGATCTGGGAATAGATTGGATCCCTTCTCTATTGCGCTCTCTCTCTCTCTCTCTCTCTCTGTGTGTGTGTGTGTATCTGTCTGCCTCTTCCCCTCCCCCCCTTCCCCTCAAACCGGTGATCTGAGCCATGCTGGACCAGGGTTGGACTGTTTGGGTCACGGACAAGTACCGGGACGGAACCAGCCAAGTGGGAAGGAGAGAGGGGTACCTTAGGCAGCGAGTTTCGCCCACCGAGGGCCCCGAACACACAGGATCTACGGGGAGGAAGAGGGAGGGGGGCGTGTATGGAAAGCAGAGAGGTGGGGAGGAGACCCAGAAGGGGACAGTCAGGACTGGATAACCATGAAAGCTGGTTGGAAGCAAGCTGGAACCACATGAGATCAGGTTCTCAAGCAGCAAAGTAGCCAACATCCAGCAGCAGAGCAACAGCCAGCCAGCAGCAGCGTGATCGTGCGGCAACGATCAGCCGTTTATGGGGCATGGGATCGTTGTGACAGGTAAAACCAGGACGGAGCCTTGGGGGTTCCACCCCGAAGAGAAAGATCGGCTGCTGGCGTAAGTGCAAGCCAGATGGTAAAGTAGGTCCAGCCCAGAGTTCGATTCGATTACCACCATAATACCGGACGGAGACTTCCATTTCTTTGCTTAGGGTCGTCGACTAGTAGTAGTAGGGGGGTGTGGGTGCCAGTGGTGGTCGGCTCCGTCCCCATGATGAAGGATGATCTCTGATTGATTCCTGGAGGGCGTGCATGATGGAGAAAGGAAAGGTGTCCGTGGATCTGCACTAGCGCCAGACTTACTGTAGCCGAGCCCCGAAAGTACCGTTGGCTTTGGCTCCATCGGCCGATCTGAGAGTGAGTGCAAGAGACAGACAGTGTGTGTGAGAGTGTGAGAGTGTGAGAGTCAGAGGTCAAGAGAGTCAGAGTCAGTTACTGTGTGGTTGCTGTGCCCTTCGTACGACGCAGTTACGTACTCCCTTCTCCTCCCGCCGCGTTGCTTCTTTCAGGAGTAGATCTCCGTTGGGATCTCATTGTTCGTAACTTTTTTGAAGAGTCATGCTCGTGATGTTTGTTACTTGCTTGCTGCTGCTGCTACTGCTACTGCTACTGTTGCCAAATGGTCTAGAGCAAAGTGGAGGAAGATTTCTTGTCGTCATACTTTCACTACTACAAAATTCTCCTTTGTCTATGTATAGCACTTTTAGATAGAAAGAAGATGATCGACTGTCTCTCATCTCGTCTCTTTTACCCAGTCTCAGCTTTGATCTGCCATCATCTTACTTCCGTGCTCATCAGCTCCCATGGAAAAACCATCCACTATTCCCAGGGTTAAGGTGGCCTGGGGGGGAGGGGAGCAGCGAAGGGTGTGGAATAATGGTGGAGGCGGCGCACGTTGTTTTAGCTCTCGTTGAGCCTACCTAAAAGGTATAGCAAAGCTAATGGCAAATCATCCCGGTTAAGTGTTTTTTCATTTGGGTTTTCCAATTTTCCTATTCAGGAATTCCGAAAGCGGTAACTTAGAAGACAGGGAAAATCAAAAAAGAAAATGTAAAAATTAAAAATAAAAATTCCAAAAAGGAAACGTAAATTACCCGCCAAGAGCAAGACATCGCGTGTGGTGCTCCGTACCGGGGCCACTGCCCATTAATTAAGCTTTGGGACGGAGGTATCAGCCCTTGTGGAAGCGAATCGAGTAGAATAAAATAAAATTAAATAGAGAGCGAAAAAAAAGAAATGTGGCCACTGCGGGCTCGGGAATATTCAAGACGCCGCTGGGACTGGAGGGATGAAGGAAGAGAAGAAGAAAAAGAAATTAGTAAAATAATATGAGGATAAACCAAGCCAGAACGGAGGATATCGTACCTGTTCGGCTGTGTGGCAGGAAGAAGGAAGTTAGTAGGTTCATCCCTCTACTAGACGAGATCCTCATCAGACGGGGGGAGAAAAAAAAAGTGTAATTATTTGGGGACCAGCGATTTGCGTCGGATTCGCCCGCTTTCACTCGCTCCTGTGAGGCCTGTTCTGTCTGTCCTGTCTGTATTTTGGCTTGTCTTGTGTCTGGCTGCCTCTTTTTTATTATTATTATTTTTAATTTTTATTTCGCGTCTCTCTTTTTTCTCCCTCTCACACTCTCTTCGGGCTCTCCACCCGTCGGTTGAACCACTACGGCCGGAGTATACTCCCCAGCGGGCAGCTATAATTAAACTGCCTGTCGATTGATCCTCCCTGGATTTTATTTTATTTTATTATTCGATTTTCTGATAAAATAAAATATTCTCTCCATTTTTATTTTATTATTTTTCCTGTCAACCTTCCTCCCCACTTTTCGCATATCTCCACTATTCCACACCCTCAATCATCGTCTCTCCTTCTTTTCCCCTCTGCCATCCACGCGCTTTGGTCTATAAACCCCGTTCATATCCTCCTCCATCTCTCCCCCCCTGTTCCCATCAAACCCACCCCCACTTGTACCTTGCCTCCAATTCCATTGAATCCATTTTTCGTTGCCTCTTGACTCGACCTCGCTTTTATATATCTTCCCTCGGTAGCCTCCTTCTTGCTTGCTATAAGCTACCTCTTCCTTTCCACTCGGTTTCATCCAACCTTATATACATACATACATACATACATCCACCCTCCTCCACCACCACCACCTCCCTCACCTACATCTACCTACTTCAACACTCTCAACATGGATCTCGCCAGCCTCATCTCCCACCCGGGACCCGATCCCATCATGAAGTCTAGAGCCTCATACAGCCCTCCTATGACCTCCTACAAGCGGTCCATCGAACAGACTTCCGACTCATACTTCCCCTCCGTCCCGATCTCCTACACCCGCTTCCCGCAGCCTCCTCTCTCCCCGCCTGTTGAGGACCACTCCCCCAAGTGCTCTCTTCCTTCCATCTCTACCTTGCTTGAGGGCGCAGATGGCGCAGCTATGCACGCAGCAAGTATGGCCCCCAATGCTTAGAAAGCCGTCCGGAGAAGACCGAAGGAGTCAAATGCTGACAAGAGATTCCTGCAGAGCGTACTAGAATGACCCCTCTGCAGCGCGACCTTGATTCCCGCCAACAGTCGCAAGCATATGACCTCAAAGCCAACGGCCCCCAAATCGCCCTGCCCCCCACGCCCCCATTGCGCCCTGGGTCTAGCTTCCACAGCGCCGGCCACTCCCCCGCCTCCTCCATCTCTGCTGCCAGCGATGCTGCTGCGCCCAAGCGCTCCGACTCCTACCCTCAAGTGCCCATGGCTCTGCCTAGCCCCTCGGATCGGTCGTCCATCTCCAGCCAGGGTTCCGTTCAGGGTGTCTCCAGTGCTTCCTACGCTTCTCCCGCTCCCAGCGTTTCTTCCTACTCCTCTCCCATTGAGCCTTCGGCCTCCTCCGCCATGTTCTACCAGCGCACGGCGCCCTCCACTTCGGCCGCTCCTCTCCCGACTCCGGCAGCACCGCAACAGATTATCTCCCCTGTGAACCCTGCCTGGCAACACCACCACTACTTCCCTCCCTCCAGCACCACGCCCTACCAGCAGAACCATGATCGCTATATCTGCCGCACCTGCCACAAGGCCTTCTCGAGACCTTCCAGCCTGCGCATCCACTCTCACAGCCACACGGGCGAGAAGCCCTTCCGCTGCACCCACGCTGGTTGTGGGAAGGCCTTCAGTGTGCGCAGCAACATGAAGCGTCATGAGCGTGGCTGCCACAGTGGCCGGCCCGTCGCAACTGCCATGGTATAAAAAGACCGCCACTGGGTGTCCGGTCACCTTGATGCGCCTCGAAGGCAATCAAGGCAACAAAAAAGCTCGACAAGAAGCAGGAGCTATACCAAACCAAACAAAAAAAAAAGGACCATACCACTCCATCATACCAACCTCCCTGAATCCAGCGACCATCTGCTCTGATTTCTTCTTTGAATGATACCCTTTTGTGCATGTTTTATATTCACTTCTTCTGATCCTCACGCACCCGGGAATCCATGGGACTTGGGTGTGTTGTGATGGGAATCCCCATCTTTTCTTTCTTCACTTCCACCTGTGTATATTTGGATGTCTTCTTCCCTTTTTTATATTTTATTGTCCATGTGAAAAGGAGCAGGCGTCGCTGGTTTTCGGTCTGGGAAATGCAAAGCATCATAAGAGTCGGGAGGAGAATCATTGGGCATGGGATTATCGGAGTCTCAACTCTGGTTTGAAATTTTTCTTATTTTCTGTGTTTCCTATATCTTTTTTCTTTTTTCCTATATTTCCTTGTGTCATCTCATTTCCTTTGTTATGATGTGACATGACCTTGTGAACAAGAGATGTTCCTACTATACGATTATAACAAACGCACAACAGCTTTGTTGTACTCTGGTATGAAGAAACCAAATTAAGAGCATAGACTCGCATTCTAGATGAAGATCAAGCTTCCATTCCATCAAACCCTTACCAACTGTAGTATAATACAGCGTAGATGGACACTTTCACTTCGTAATTATCGTCTTTATCCACTCCCCTCCACATTTGATCATCTTGCTTACACACCACCCCCAATACTCTCATCTCACAAAGTATAGTAGAAGACCTAACCACCCGTTCTCCTTCGCAACATACGAAGCAGAAAGACACAGGCTTCTCCTTAGTCTACTTAAATATACTTTCTTATCTTTCCTCCTACTTTGATCTATCTTAGATTTTTTTTCTCCCCTACTTGACCACTCCTTCGCCTCGTGACTTTTTCCAACTCCTCAAGTTCCTTATTACTAGTACCGGAGGGAAAACTGGTTAATGCCTTGACCAGACCATCATGTAAAACAAATCTGCGTACTGCATTCGGACCACTTCCATTACCAAAGTCCCCACGAACGAGACAAACGAAGTAACTATCAAAGTACTAACTACTAACTAACAGTAATAAAGGTGATATGATATAGAGCGAATCTGTAATTTGGTAAACTCAAATTTAAAACTGATCTATATACTACTCATACTCAATCCATAATTGCAATGATGGAAAATGTGACAAAACCTGCTATAATTTCCATCCAACACCACCACCACCACCGCCACCGCCACCATTGCCAAATTCCCGGACTCGCTAAATGACTAAAACTACCTGCGTATCAATCAATCAATCAATAAAATAATATTTGCCTATTCTCCCAAACGGAAAGAAAGGAAAGGGAAAAAAAAAAAAAAAAAAAAAACGACGCAGCCACTCCGGAAGGAAAGGGAAATAAATAAGGTATCATGACGATCGTAACCAAAAACAGACACAAGGTATTCCAAATCGGAAGAAAAGAAAAAGACAATTGAAATTGCGAGTAAAGGGGAATATTTCCGGATAGTATGTAATAGAATAGAGAAGAAGAAGGGACAGGGAAATCTGAAGAATAGAGAGGAAGGAATGAAGAAAGGGAGGTATCAGGAGTCAAGGATAAGCAATTTACGGCCGTAATCGCAATTCGATCATCATTGTGGTGGTCGTCATCAATATCATCAACCATGGACGCTTACGCTACCTGTACTGGCAGCAGGTCCCATGGT